CTCATCCGACTCATCCACTGATGCGCGTGGGGAGGGGGAGGCGCCTGGGCCTGTTACCTAGAGTCCCCCCAGGAGCGGAGGAGGCAGGAAGAGGGCTGGGCTGGAGCCGGCTGGACTGGCAGAGCTGAGGAAGTGAGTATCTTACACGACTGTGGAGAAGTGGGACTGGAGGGAGGAGGTCAGGGTATGTTGGGGGTGGATGCTGGGAGTTCACCAGGCCTCTGATGCCTTTGGAACATTCTGACCTGCTCTGCACCTCCCAAGGAGGTTCCCTCTGCTCCTCTCCTGCCACAGCCACCACAGCTGCCTTAGTCGCTGGGGCAGAGCTGCACCAGGCACCCTTGTTCTCTTTTTCTGGTCCCCTGGAAGTAGGCATCACATGTCCACACTGTCCTTTGTCACATCTGCACACCTCCAGGGAAAACTGTGCTCTAGAGAGAGTGCATGCCTCCTGCTTGGTGACCTGGGCTGTTTTCTTAGTCTTGGTACTCCCGTGGTACTCCCGTCTCTCTGTGTCTGTAAAGTGACAGCAACAGCTCCTCAGGGTAGGAGAGCTCAGTAAGAAGCCGGGTATAGCATGGGCGCCGATGGGAGGTATGGTCAGCAGGGACACTGGGCCTCCCCTTCCCTTCCTTATTTTCTTCAGTGTCCAGTGGACTGACACCAGGGAGCTTGAGAGATATCTTCTGGAGGACAGTGCCCATAGAGGACTGGATGCCATGCCCTGGGCCTCTGGTACACCTGCTATCTCTCATTGTAGGTGAGCCTATCCCTTCTGTGGTGCAGGGACTGTGGGTTTCTCCCAAGATATGTGAACTTCTGGGGAGGGGGTAGTCTTGTTCGCTTTGAACCCCCAAAGCTCCCGCACCACACTTGGCATAGTGCTTGGTGGCCACAGAACCATCAGAAGGAAACAGAAGGGCCCTCCTGTTTCAGAAACAGCCAAGTTCTAGAGGCAACAGCCAAATTTGGAGTGTGGCGGCCCGAGCTCAGCTTGTGAACACTCACAAATGTAACCTAGAGCAAGATGGTTCATCTCCCTGAGCCTCAGTTCTTTGTTTAAAAATAGCCACAGTAATAGCTACCTCCACAAGTTGTTGTAGGGATTAGAGGTGATGTCAGAGACAGACTCCAGCACACCGCGGCCCAGCGCATAGTAGGAGCTCAATAAATGGAAGCAGTGATTACCTGTGGTCACGGGACTGTTTGTGTGTGTGTGTCTGAAGCTCCATGAACTCAAGTTCATGGCGAGTGACACACGGCTTCTCTTGGTGCGGCAGGGACTTCTCTTGTTTTGGTCTTCACGTGAATGTTGTAGGCCTCGTGGTGTTGTGATGACAATCAGCATCTTGACTAGGTAGCCAGGCTACTCAATGGCAATCACCTGCTGTCTGCTGTGGGCAGCTATTGCCTAGATTTCTTCCCTGGTGATGGTAGAGGTTGGGGTAGAGATGGGAAGGGGCCATGTCCACTATCAACTCTCTCTGAAGTCTGCAGCTGGAAGTGGAACTGATGTTTGGGTTGGAGCGGATGGACGGTGACATGCTGCTACCGCTCACAACTCTGATCACCTTTTAAGATCCCTGCTGATATTCTGAGGCTGGGTCTCCTTGTACTTTTAAGTTTGATTTGGGTAGGAATAAATGCAACCATTTTCTAGAAGTCCCTTTGATTAGGGCTTTACTTTTCATAGTTTTAGGTACCAAGTCTACTATAGTCAAAAATATTAAATGGAAAGTTATATATTTGAGGAGGAGAGGGAAGGACAGCAAGAACACATTCATTCTCTATAAATTAGGAGAAAACTGGCTTAACAAACACTATTACTCCAAAGAAAGCTAGGAAGATCCAATTTGCCGTGTTTTTAAAATTACATTTATGTGCCGAACGTGGTGGCAGGTGCCTGTGATCCCATTCAGGGAGACGGAGGCAGGTGGATCTCTGTGAGTTCTAGGCCAGCCTGGTTTACAAATCGAGTCCAGGACAGCCAAAGAAACCCTGACTCGAAAAAAAAATCACATTTATTTGTGTATGTGCACACACACACACACACACACACACACACACGCATGCACACATGGGCGTGTCACAGTGCCCACAGGAAGGTCAGAGGACACCTTGCCAGAGCCAGCTCTCTCCTTCATTGTATCTGTAACATTTCTGCCTGAGCCTGGAGCTCCATACTTGATTCAATTCATCCTCTGGTGCGGGTTCTGCTATGGCCCCCGTATGCCTCCCAGCCCCCAGCATCCCCAGGTACCAGGGGGAGCTGCAGTCAGGGGCATAGTACACAAGGTAGAGGAGAGCACACTGATGGGTCAGAAGAGCCGACGTGGCCCTTCCTGCCTGCCAGCCTGGGCAGGAGAGCAGGTGTCCAAGCAGAACCAGCAACTCGGGGCAGGGGCCTGGCAGGGATGGGAAGGAAGTATGCCGGTTTTGGACATGAGAATGGGACAGCTTAGGTTAGGCCGTCATCTGGGGGAGTGGACCCAGAGGATGGGGCACTGAAGCCCCTTCCCATGGTAAGCCAGGCCTTCACCTCCCCAAGCAGAGCCAGGCACCGCCTCCCAGCCGACCCCTCACCTCCCAGGCTTTTCATCTGTCTATTTGCTAGCATTTTTTTTTTCAGCTCTGCTTTTTTAGGAGTGGCCATTAGGCCTGGCAGTGAGTGCCCAGGCTCACAGAATTGTGGGTGAAGGAGCTTTCGAGATTATTCTTGCCCTGCCTGCAAGCCCAGGATTGAGGCCCTGTAGTGATTCCTGAAAATGGCTCCCAGGCTTTCTCAGCCAGCAGCCCTGTAAGGGCACCCTTCCCCCTCCCATGGTCAGGCCATGCCAGCGCTGGGAAGGCTCTTAAGTTCTTTAACGGTGTCAGCGCCCATCTAACCCTGGTATCTCACTGGCCCAGGTTCTGCAGTAGGAACCAGCTGAAGAAACTTTTCCTTCTTGGGCTAGCAAGATGGCTCAGTGAATAAAGGTTTTTGTAACCAAGTCTGAAGACCCCTCTGATCCCTGGGACCTATAGCATGGTAGAAAGGAGCCGCCGGCTCCCGAAAGGTATCCTCAGGCCTCTCACCTCCTGTGCACATATGTATACATGCCCACAAAATACAATATAATAAAAATCCAGGAGCGGTGATACAGGCCTTTAGTCCCAGCACTGGGAAGGCAAATGCAGGTAGAACTCTGTGAGTCTGAGGCCAGCCTGGTCTACAAAGAGTTGCAGGGAGACATAGACTCTGTCTCAAAACAAAAGATGCTAGGTGGTAGCCCACGCCCTTAATCCCAGTACTCAGAAGGGAGGGGCAGGTGGATCAAGGCCAGCCTGGTCTACACAGCTGCTTCCAGGGCAGCCAGGACTAAACACACATACACACACACACACACACACACACACACACACACACACACACATACAGTCTTGAAAAACAAACAAACAAAAAAAAACCTTTTTTTTTTTTTTTTTAAGAAATTTTTCGTCCTTCTAGTGACAGGACTTTCCCCTGGCCTTCCTCTCCTCAAGGGGCTGCTTGCCAGCCTCGGGCAACCTCATCTCCACTGTAATTTGTCAGGACACCTCTGGAGGGATTTTGAAGTGAGGCCTCAGATTCTTCAGGGCAGAAAAGGACTTTCCAACATAGGACCCGCACATTTTATAGATGAAACTGAGAGGTGGCCTAAGGTCTTACAGCCAGGGAGAGGGCTGGGCCCAAGCTCGGTTTTTGACCCACTGACCTTGGGGAGCAGCTGGCAGTGAAAGGAGGCCTCAGTTGTGGCAGCAATGCTTCCACATCTTGTTTGCTGAGAGCCTGGCACAGCCTTCCGACTGGTCCACACTTTCCAGGCTTTCCATCCTGTCCGTTCACCAGTATTTCCACCCAGCTCTGCCAACTTAGGAATGGCCATTAGACCTGGAAGCCATGGCCTCCTTTCATAGCAAAGGACTGAATTTCAGGCCCTGCTCGCTCCCAATAATCCTGCCACCCAGGCTGGCCTCCAGTTCAGAATCCTCCCGCCTCGGCCCCAGGTGTTGGGGGATTATGGGAGTGTGCCACTATGTCCAGCTGAGCCCACACTTCTAAGACCGCATTGTCTTTTATATCGGGGAAGCCCACATCTCCTTATTAACATGCTGAACTTTGCCTAAAGTGTGGCATTCTCTGTCAGCGATGTGCAGGGGCTTCTAGCACAAACCAGGTTGGTCTAGGTATCGCTAATCTGACCCAACTTCTAGTTGTGAGACTCCCCTTTACAGGGTTTGGGGACAATGATAGAATTTACCCGAGGTTGCAGTGTGACAGGGATCAACAAGTGCTGTGTGTGTGTGTTCACTGCTAGGATCTGAGTGGAAATGATCCTGTGTGTCCTATTTCTGGGGATGTGGGTCCTCTCCTTTGGTCCAACCCTGGGAAGAGGTTAGGATAAGCACCCCAAGTGTTTATCAAGGGCTGAGGCCCTGAGCATCTGGTAGATGAAATACCAGGAGAGGCCCCCTGCCGCCATCCCCTGGGCTGGAGCAGGCCGCACTGGGGTCAGCAGACACTGACCCTCTGAGACCCAGCTGCTCCCTCCGTCTAGCTGGGGCAAGTTCTTTTTTGTCGTTAAGTTTGAGGCTGGGCCTCACACCACCACCCAGCCTGATGAGGAGCCAAGGCTGGCCTTCAGCTCCTCACCCACAGGTTTCAGAGACTGATAACAGGTTTGGTTTACAGCGCTCAGCTCAGGGCAGGGCCTCACTGTGTACCCCTGGCTGCCCTAGAGCTCGATCTCTAGACCAGGCTAGCCCCAAGCTCAGAGATCCACCTGCTTCTTTGATCCCCCGAGCGCTGGGATTAAAGGTGTTTGCCACCATGCCCCAGGGTAGGTCAGCGTCTTGTCTTGATGTAAACCCGGGCAACTGAGAAGGGAAAAGCTTTGGCAGAAGCAGCACTTGTTTTAATGAAGTTCTCTGCATGAAGGGAAAAGAAGTCCGAGAGGAAAATGAAAACAAAACCCCAGAAATACAGACAGTATAAATTCTCTCACTTTACTAGTTAAACGGGAGGTTATAAAACACAGACAACACAAAGCTTATCATGGCCCCGGATTGGCAACGAGCTTAAGGACACAGAGATGTAAACAGTGCTTCCTGACAGAGTGACTTTTACATTCAAGAACTTACGGGCCCAGCAGCCCAGACACGCTGAGGAAAAATGAAGCAAGTCTTCAGATTGGTCCATACCGAGTTCAGAGATAATCTAAAAAGATTCCTTCGTCTAGCCCGAGGCTGGGGTCAGGCCCTGGGTGTGCGCACTGCACTGAGGAGGCAGAGGGGTTCTTCTGTTTGCCTTCAGGGCCTTCCCAGCCTGCTATGTTCTGGGCCTGTCTTGGGGGTCTGTCTCATTCTCTGCAGGTTGGCTAGAACTCCTTGGACCTGTGACACACACACTTTGATCTTCAACCCTTTTCTGGTCTCAGCAGGATACCCAGACACACCAGTGGACAAAGACCCACTCCCTCAGAGGGCCGCTCAGTCCAAAGTCATTTGGAAGCCAGGGAAAAAGATGACAGAGAAGTTTCAGCCCCTGACGTGCTCCTTCTGAGAGTTTCTGGTATGTGGATTATTATTCTGTTTCAAATTTTGCTGCTGCTCAAGATTGACTCGGCCAAGAGAAAAAAAACCCAGACTGTTCCTGTCCTTGTCTTCGAACTTCAGATGGTGGACTTGGACTTGGTGTCAAATTGGCATCCCCTCTGGTTGAAGAGTATCAGTAAAACCCACCCTCAGCCTTGGGCCAGTCATTTGTCATCAGGCTTAGCAGGAAAACTGGGGCCCTGGGAAGGATGTGGAAGGAGTTTGAGCCAGGGAGGGAAGAGAGAGGTGAGGCGCTGTCCCTGGGAAGGACAGGAACAGTCCATCTTCTGGGCAGGGCAGGCGGAAAGTCTTTAATGGAACATCGCAGAGAACGGGACGGGTCTGTATAACTACCCCAGAGCCAAGGCACAGAGGAGGTTTGAAATGTCCAGGATAAATAGAACCAATGTGGGTAGAGAAAAATCCAGCTCCACCCCTTTTAAAGCAGTCTTACTGTGGGCACCAAAAATATATTAATATCTGTACATTTGTCATCTTTAAAAAAGAAAAAGAAAGGAAAACCTCCTTGGCACCTTGTGGTTGGTTTCTTAAGAATGAGGTGATATGTGGAAAGGCCATGGGTGCAGCAACGCGCACACATGACTAAATCACACACATAAAGCCGTGTGACACATAGAGAAAGCATGCACACGTCTGTTCAAGGGCAGAGAGCCCCTGGAACCCTGAGAGTTAGCCCCGCAGGCACGAGGAACGCTGCCAGCGCCCCCACCGCAGGCGTTTGCAGGGATGCTCTGTGCTGGCGTCTCCACTCTGCTGTCCACGGGGATCCACGGCCCACCTTGTACTCAGGATCCCCTCTCAACACACCTCCAGAGTTCTTCTGCAGGGAAACAGGGCCTGTCTCTCTAAGCAGCTGTTTTTAATCACTTGGCCTCACCCCTGCCCGGGTACAGGCGCCCATCGTCCCAAGCTCGGAGTAGACTCTGCCTGTTAAGACAGACTTCCCGGACGTGAGCAGAAGCCAGTGCCGAATCGTGCAGGGGATCTGACGCGGCGGCGTGAGAGCTCTGGTTCCGATCACTGGCGTCCCGGGGGGAAGAGGTTGCAGGGAGTGACCTGGGTCCTTCCTGGGGCCTGTGCTGCTCAGAGGTGGGGGCTGCCCTGCAGCAGGGAGGTGACAGTGTTCTGCAGGGCCGCGGCCCCTTTCTTGGAGGTCTTGCGCAGTAGGGGGCTGTCGGGGTGGTGCTCCCTGAGGTGCAGGGCGTGGCCCTCCTGGCTCTCGGACGTGCAGCCGCACTCCTCGCACACGTAGAGCTTGGCCCGGCGCTCCTTGTACGCGTACTGCTGCTGCACGCCGTGGATCTTCTTGAGGTGGGACTCCAGGGAGCAGCGCTGGGTGAAGGCCTTGTCACACAGGCTGCACTTGTAGGGCCGAACACCTGCGGGGACCAGGGTCAGCGTCAGGGCCTGACGGAGACTACTGAGCCTGTCTGAAGCCTCCACCCACACAAAGGTCAGGACCGCTGCCTGCTAGAGTGACCAACAAGGCTCAATTGGCTAATGCCAATTTCCTGAGTGATTCTGGAACCAAGAGTCTTTGTCTGTGAACTTAGGACTCTGCCCTAAGCTCCAGGGTGGGCCTCCAGGTCCCAGGCAGGAGGGAGGCGCCCCTCCCTCTATCCAGACTTTACTTACCGGTGTGGGTTCGGACATGTCTCTTGAGGTCAAAGGTGTCATTGAAACCCTTCCCACAGTATGTGCAGAGGTGCCTCTTGACGTCATTGTGACACTTCATGTGTCGATTCAGCATGCGCTGGTAAGTGAAGGCCTTTTGGCAGATGTGACAGGTAAAAAGGTCTCCATTTGGACTGTCCCCCAAGGTCACCTGTGAGTGAAGACATTACTTGTGGCAAATATCTAGAAATCAGGACTGCAGGCTGGCAGTCCTGCCATCCCCACCAAACTCTCAAGAAAAGCAGGCCGGTCCTCCGGAGGTCATGGCTAGCAGCATGTGCTCAGTGGGGCCTACCTTTCCTCCTAGGTTCCCCAGACCTCTTTCTGAGACTGTCATCCTGAACTTCTGATCTTCCTGCCTTTACCTGCCAAGGCTGAGTTGCAGGAGTGCCTCATGCCATTCTCTGTGGGCTAAGGGCGGAGCTCAGGTCTTTGCGTGTATAAGGCAACCACTCCACCCACTGAGCCAGATCTCCAGCCTGAGAAATATGTTTCTTTCTTCTTATTAAAAATACTTTATTCTGTGTCTATGGGTGTTTTGCCTGCATGTATATGTCATATCTGTGCACATGCCTGGCCGGTGCCCATGGAGGCCAGCAGGTGTCTTACCCTCTGGAACTGGGGTTACAGACAGTTGTGACAGGTCATGTCGATGCTGGGAATTGAACCCTGGTCCTCTAGAAGAGGACTGGAAGACTGATAAGCCATCTCTCCAGCCCCATCCTTTTTCTTTTTTAATCATGGAAAATTTCAAATTCAGGCAATGGAGGAAGGACTGGTGTCTTGGTCCCTTGGCCGTTGCTCAGTGCAGGCCCCACTCTGTATCTACCAGCTTCCTGTCCTCGTCTCTGTCATAGGAAGCAATCCCTGGGGCCACCGCCGCCACACACTGTTTAGAGTAGATGCAGCAGCGTTCTAGGTGTGAACACAAAGGTGTGGCCGCGTGGCCAGGCCAATCCAGTGATTGCCTGTGCTCAGGGGCCTGGCACCAGCCACTCCTCATGAGATCCTGGGCACCTCTCATACCACAGTTCCACTTGGTACCCCTCCCTCTCTCCTGTTCTTGTCAGTCTAGCGAATTCCATCTCTTGCCAGTTAGGATCCTTTAGAACAGGACCTAGTCCTCTGTCTCCTCTTTGTCCCATCCTGTGTTCTGCTGTCCCTACCTGGACCAGCCTGAGGGGCAGAAGAAGGGCTGGCAGGGAGGATGAGTGGTGCTTGAAAGGTCAGGAGACCCACCGTGGCAGGGACCAGTCATAGCCTCTCTTGGTTGCTCCCCGAAACCCCTGCCTTTGCAGGTAGGAAGGTAGGAAGGGAAGGACGGCAGGCAGTCTCCTTCCCGCTGCCTTATCTAGTCTTCTGGCATGCAGGGTGGCCCAAGAGGATCACCCTTCCGCTGGATCTCTGCTGGCAGGTGCTCCTGGGCCCTGCGGCTTTGGGGAGGGTTGACGCAGCCAGGAGAGCTGGCTGTTTCCTCTCTGTAGCAGGCCTCAGTGTGTGCTGCCTCATGTGGTGCCACTGAGCATGAGTTCGGGTGGGGTAGGGTGCGCGCAGCCTGGTCACTGCCATATGCTCTAAGGAACGCTAATTACCCCTCTGGGGTGCTTCTCCTTGACCTCTCCTGACTCTTGTGGCCAGAAACGAGACTAGAACACTTTCTTATCCAGACGCCAAAGGGTTAGATGGCCCCACTTCATATCTCCTTCATAGCTCTTATCTTTCCTCCACGTGCTCCAGACACATGAGTGTCTGCAAAAGTTGAAATCCGGGGCTCAGACTGCCCCTCCTGTCACATCCGTGGGTCAGACATGGGTCTCTATGCATGCCCCTGGACCTCGAGACAGAATAAAGTTATTTACCTTCATCTTGGTTCGTAGGAAACCCTGGTCCCTGCTCTGAGGATCCGTCAGATGACTCACATCTTCAGGTGGTAGCTGGGCCACCACGCAAGGCCCCGGGGTCACACCATAACTGGAGTCCCGAAGGCTCATATCCAAAGCCATGGGGCAAGAAGGGGGTTCGGCCACTGATGGCTCTGGCTCCTGGTAGGGCTGTGGTGGGCAGAAGCCCAGGCTGACTGCAGGGAGAAGAAGAGCCAGGTGAGGGTGGGTAGAGAGATCTGCCAGGGTTCCAGGAAGATTCCCAAGCAAGGAGAAGGCTGCCCTTCCTCCGGTTGTAGGCATGAGGCAGAGCAGGGCGGGGCCCCAAGGCCATCAGAAGTTGCACCTCCCTCCTGCCCCATTAAGGTAATTACAGGTGACGCCAGCCAAGAGCCACTGCCCCCTGAGTAACTTGTCTTAGCGGAACTGGGAGGACTGAGTTGCCCTGCCAATTATGCTGCAAAGTGTCCGCCTGCCCCGCCTGGCCAGTCGCCCTGGATTCCAACATGTCCTTACTGTAGGGACAAAGGGCACCACCGAAGGCCCTGGCCAGGGAAAGCTCCTTCGGACTCATTCTGGTCCTTGAAGGGTCCTTGTCAGTCTGGACCCTTCTTGGAGCTCTTCTCTAGGCAGGCCTTTGGGGTTTGGGTGGTCCTAGCCTTTCCTCCTTGACCCGGCCAATCCTTGTTACTGTAACCCATCCAGACTCCTCGGCTCAAGGCTGGGCACAGCTTTGTCAGCAAACAGGCCAGGTGGGTGGAGAGGGAGGAGGTCAGGGAGCAGCAGGTGGATGCTCGTAACAGTCTCCGGGCGCCCTGCCCAGCGCTTACACAACCCTCCCCCCACTGCGGAACCGCTCGCCGGCACTCAGGCCGGGGCCCTCCGGCAGTGCAGTGGCATCGCCCATACCTGGCCACCTTCTGACAAGGCCGCTCCCCTCAAAAAACACCTTGAGCTAAACAGGCTGGGCCTATAAGGCCGGGCTGGGACCCTGAGCTCCAGTTCTTACAGGACAGACGAGGTAACACAGGCAACAAATCTCAAGGCCAACAGAAGTATAATTTTCCAATTAGTCAGTACAACCTAAACTCTGTACTTAAAAACCTATAAATTAGGAAGTTTTCTAGTTTCAGAAAGAAAAATCAAGAGGGACAGAGAGGATGAGAGTCCAACTGACTCAGAATGGGATTTCAGGGCCTCAAGCTAAGCCCCCTGAATACCCTATTCCAAGACAGAGATGTCCTTGGGGGCAAGGACCCAGGCCCAGGTTGTTGCCCTCATGTCTCCGGGGGACCATCAGGGCAGTGGGGTGAGGAGGTAAATATAAAAGTACTTGAGTTTCGGGAGAGGCCCAGTTCTCACCCCCTCAAAACACAACAAAGGTCTGACAGAGGAAGAATGCGCCCGCCTGCCGCCCAGAACCCGTTCTTCTAGCGCTGGCGTCCGTCTGTCCGGGGAGTGGGGGGGGGACCTTAATGAGCCACCTCATTCCAGGAGTTGATTCACCAGCTCCTGGCCCTAGTCTGGCACCTGAGCTGGCATCCCACCTCCCTCTGAACCATGCTGACTGGTGTTGGGCTCAAGCTTTGAGCCCAGCTTTCAGACACCGGTCTGCCTCTCGTGGGACCTGTGTGTGTGATGCCCAGGATTAGGACCAGGAGGGTGGGGTCGGAGTGGTAGTAGCTCTGGTACTCACTCAACAGACAGACCCTGGGTGAAAGTCCAAGACTAGATGACAATTTCCCCCTTTCAACACAAGGAGGTAAAAACAGACACCTCTCCCACCCTCAGTCTGTCCCTTCCGGTTGGTGTGAATGAGACTTTTGAAGGCCAGCCTGGCCACATGGCCTGGGTGTGGGGTCAGCAGAGGGTGCAGTGACAGCCTGTGAGGTGAGCTGTCACCCTTGGCTCCTTGGCTTTGTGGAGGGAAGGCTGAGTTAGGAGTCTGAGGACCTCGGTCCCTTGTAGAGGAAGCGTCCGTCCTTGCCCATCTTTGTCCTTCCACACAAAACCTGGAAAGTCTTAGGGCAGCAGATAGGACAGAGCTGGCTGTCTGGGCACTCCATGCTGTCGCTACCTGGAGCAAAGGGCCAGTAAGCCTGCCAGGGTGGGGATGTTTGCCTCAACTTACCTGTCCCACCAAACCTGTCTCCCCACCACCCCCGAGAGTGTGTCTACCAGGACTTGCACGCACAGGGAGTATTCACTGGTGTGCTATCTGCCTATCCTGAGTGTCATTGAATGGCAGGAGGCAAAACTGGTTGGGTCTTGCTGATGCTCCTGTCCCCTAATTAGATGTTTCCCGCAGTGAGCACTGTGGCTACTACTCATCGCCCTGCCCACAGCCACTGAGTGTGGCAAGGCCAACCCAGCTAGCCCTCTCCCTCCTCCCCCAGGGGCCGGTAAGTTCTCTCCTGCTGCCTTTACCTGGGCGATGTTGCAGAGCTGGCCTGGAGCAGCAGACCAGACTTGAAAAGGCTGCCCATCCAGTGGCCATCTCCTACCTTACCCTCCACAGACCTCCTTTCTTTCAGCCACTGGCCCAGTCACTAGACAGATTGCTAAGCCTTAAGACAGGGATACCCACGAGGCCTGAGCCTCAGCTTTTGGGGGAGAGCAATTACGTTGAGGTGTGGATGCCTGAACTTTTGGGTCCCCAGCTTATCACACAGGTGCTGACCACCCCCGTTCTGGGTGTGGGTCTGCTCATGCCAGGCTGGCTTTAGGATGCCTTGCCCACGGATCTGGAAGGACTGCGTCCCCTGTATTCAGCTCCCTCAGATTGCAGGTCAGCTAGCAATTGCCTGAAAGGAATAGCAGCGGCCACCGGTAGAGACTACAGTGCCAGGACACAACAGGCCTGTCTCTCAGCCTTTTGTTGCCCTTCTGTTTAACGCCAGCACTCTCAAGGCAGGACCTGCCTCCGTTCCCGACTGCTTTCCTTTCCTTCAGCATCTGTGTTTAAGTTAGACTGAACCCTTGCTGCTCACGCTGGTGGGCCTGGCCTGACTGGATGACAGTGTACTTCCTCTGGCACCCTTCACCCTGGTCCCCAGCACGGGCCAGGGTCCACCTGCCTGGCATATGCTGTGAGCAGAAAATGGGCAATGACACAGCACTATGTCCCCTCTTCTCCCCACAGATGGACACTGTCCTCACCATCCTTCCTGGGACAGCTTGCCTTAGGACCTCCAAGCTTGGGCAAACATCTTAGCAGCTTGGGTGGCAGTGTCTCTTAAGACAGGTGAGAGTTCCATGGCCATGTGTCCCGGCTAGCTGAACCCTTCACTGCCCAGGACCTCAGCAGCTGTTAGAATGTTCTTGAAAGAAGTCCAGCCTTTCCATACATGCTATATGAGCTAGGGGCCCACAGCTGGCATTTCAGCCAGCCCTACTCAGCCTGGCAAGATTGGTCAGAGGAGGCAGATCTCTGAATTCAAGGACAGCCTGGGGTGCAAAATAGTACCAGGTCAGCCAGGGCTACACAGAGAAACCCTGTCTTGAAAAAAAAAATGTAGGGAGTGGTAGCAAATGGCAAACAAACACATTAAATCCTAGCACTTCCAGGAGGCAGAGGCAGGTAGCTCTCTGGGAGTTCAAGGCCACCCTGGTCTACATAGTAAACTCCAGAACTACACAGCCAGGGCTACACAGTGAGACCCTGTCTCAAACAACAACAATAAAAAAAGTGGTCAAGTTCCTACAACTGTCTAGCAGCATTGGCAGGCCGGGCCATGTTATCGGAATGAAACCTGGGCTTCTGCATTTTAGCCTGTCCGGCCTGGGCTTCAGCACATTTGTTTGTTTGAGTCAGGGTCTCAGAGAGCCAAGACTGGCCTCAACCTTGTTACATATCTGAGGCTGTCTTTGAACTCCAGATCCTCCTGAGGCCACCTTCCAAGTGCTGAATTAGAGGTATGTACACCACACGTAGCTTCTGAGCTTTGGACATGTGCTGCCCCGAAAGACCAGCAAGCCAGACTATTAGCCGAAGGGGAGGCTTGGAGATGGGGGGTCTGGGAGCCTGGAAGAAGCTCCTGGAATTCTCTTGGGGTTCCAGCTTTCAGGCTTAGTCTGTCCCCAGGCCCTTCCTGACTGTGACTTCATTCAGCAAGGACCAGCCTTAGAGGAACTGCCCCACTGCTGTTCCTTGAGCCCTTTCATAGTGCAGGAGTGGAGGTTACCCCCAGCTGCAGGTGCCTGCTCCAAAACAAAAACAAAATCAAACAAAAACCCTCAACACAAAAAGCCCACCATCCTTCCCATCACCACAGAGTAAACACACAACCAAGTAGAGACTGCTGTACCAGGAAGGGTGGTGGCGGCGAAGAGGAGCAAGGGAAACCCTGAACTGTGCTGTCTCCAGTGGGGAATGGGATCATTTCCTCGGTTGCCTGTCTTCCCCTGAAGGCTATCAGCTCTCCGCTCTCCTCGGCAAAGCTGGAGGAAAGGCTGCCCTGGGAGAAGAGTATCTCTAGCAGCTTGTGTGGGGAGGAAGGCTGAAGTGACTCTAAAGGGCAGCTCCCAGGTCAGGCTCATCAACCCAGCATCCCCTCCAGGTGGTCACTGTGATGCTTTGAGGGTCTCAGAGATCCCTGGCAGGAAGGTCAGCACGCATACACTCCCATATCCCCGGCCCTCCCACTGGGAATGGGGTCATTGCCTAGCTGGTCATAACGTGCCCCAAGAGTCTGTGAGGTAGGGTGACAGAAACGTGCCCAGCCAGCTCCTGGGGTCACGGTTGGCTGGTGATGGAATGGCTCAGCCAGGATACAAAACTACACCCCTGCACCCCGGCCATCGAAAGCACCCAAGCATAGACTGAGGCCATTCCGTTGGTTTGTTTTTTGTTTTTTTGTTTTTTTTTTTTTTAATTTCCAAAACTGTGGGAAAACACTGGCTGGTGGGCCACCTAACTCAGAGAAGAAAACTTAAGCCCTATAACTTCTACTCACAGGGCTTTCTCGTCACGCAGCCAATACGGGGAAATTCTTTCAAGGGCTTATGGCCCATCCCGGGCAATCCTGAGCGAGGAGAACCTACCTGCACGTCTCCCTATCAGGACAGCGTAGCAGGTGGCAACATCCACCCAGAGACAGCCTATCTACCCGATGGCACAGGCCAATGGGGCCAGGTCTCTCAGATCTCTCTTTGTGTCTCTCAGATCTGTGCTGGGGGAAATCTCTAGACCCAAGGAGGTCTTAATGATTCAAACAAGCAGAATATCTTTGCCCTATGTGAAAGTCAACATATCTGTTACTGATTGGGGTGTGAAATAAAACTAAAAATAACAGCACCCTGAGCCTGGCTCAAGACACAGCTCACCTTTAACACAATCCAAGTTCAGTTTATCAGATCCTAAGGAGCAGCTAAGCAGCAAGTCAAACACAGGTTGGGGAGGAGGCTGGAGCAAGGAAGGGGCCCTGTCCCTCACCAGGCCTTCCGGAGGTGGAGCACTGGACAGTTGGCCAGAACAGATAGCCAGGCAGAAATCTCAAAATCCCCAGCCCACACCCCAGGCAGGGAGGCATGCTTCCCTTTTGCCTCCTGTCCCTCCACACTGGGGATTCTAGGGCCTTCTGGCCCATTCCCTTGTTTGAGAAGCCTTCACAATAACCCCTACAGGCCCCTGAGATAAGGTTAGGTTGTAAAACATCCTACTAGCCGCTGGAACCCGGCAGGTC